TCGGAAGGGCCGTGTATTTGTTTCTTTCCTTTTGAAAGCGAGTTATGGTTATCACTGGGATCGCCACTACTGACAACCTTGTCTTTCATCTACGAGCGCGGCATGTTCTGTTACCGGCTTGACCTTTCTTGCCAGTCACTCTCTATGGTCATTCCTGGCCCGAGTTGACGTCGATCTGTAACTTGGACTGTGTAATCACCGCATGCATGACCATTTATTCCACCAAGCAATACTCTGTGCTGAATGATTTGTCAAGGATCACGTCTTATATAGAAGCGCAAATGATTCCTCCAAAATGTCAGTACGTACTTATGAAGAGCACTTTTGTCTGTGGTCATCACACGGTACCCTTAAGCAACCTGCCTGAAGATGTAACTAAGTCTTGTTGGCGTTGTGTCAGCGATTCGACCATCGGACCCTTGGTAGACGCCACACACGCGAAATGACTCCACGGTAGCATCCTTGACCTCATCCGTACTATGGTGCATCTATCTTTATTCATTTCATCACAGGCCCATGTTGATAGTCTACCAGCTTTTGGGTCATGTGTCCGTCAATCACAGATAGATGCGAGCATGAAATTTCTGCATGTGGCTGTGTTTCTTGACTACCGAGCTGGTCAATGTGTCCAAAAAGCAACACGCACCGTCCAGTCTAGTTGTCATTCTCCTACAAAGTAGTAACGTTGTCCCCTATTTTTGTTCCGCTTAGCTGAATGTCATGTTTTTACCTTTTACGGTAGCTGTATGGATACCACTCTACTGGCTCTCGACGTCGATCCCGCTCTAGGCATCGACGATCCATTACCATCGAAATTAGTACCTCATTACAAGAGCGGGGACTACAAGGCTGAGGCCCCTCAACTAGAGTGTTGGACGCGTCAGTGGCAGCAGGAAAATGAGGAATTTCACTCAGCCTAATAAGAAAAGAAAAGAAAAGAGAGTTTGAAGTGCCCCTCGTTAGTACCTAGGTATGTAACAATGTGATTCTTACCAGTACAAATTGGACCTGGACCGACTGAGACGACACCTGCGGCATAGACTCTCTAGGAAGTACCTCTTTTCCTTATCAGGCTCTTTAACTAATAGGTCGTACTGAATAATTCCCACACTCATACAGTTTCTTGGGTTTCTGTTCAGTTTATTATTTTCCTTCTACCTTTTCTTGCATTCGGTCACCCGACAAGGACTTTATCCTGGAAGCTTGGCACTGAAGCGGAGACGTCATCTTCCTTACCGCAAACAACGTCCTGTCCTGTCCTACATTAGGCAGACGGATTCTAGCCATTACTTGCGCCGAAGTGAAGCACCATACTCTTCCTTGCGAGGTGAATGGTCTCTCAACGTATCGATTGAACGAACGGATCGAAGTGATAGATCCCCCTGGCTTGACATGCTTGACGCAACCCCCGCCTCCCATGATGCCGACCGTCTGCAGTCAGCCGGTCGGCCGCTGTCAACTTATGTACCACCTGGGCAAATTCTGACGGGAAAGCAAGAGCACTGTGAGAATTGTCTCCGTTTGGTGAGATTATGACCGAAGAGGACTTATCGCTAACCGGTGCAGATCTGAAGCGCGAGCTGATCGGCCGTCAAGTGCGCAACGAAATCACCGAGCTGAACTCCCCCACTGCCCTCCACCGCTTCGGCGCTCCATTCAAATCTGAATTCGGGGAAGTTGCCCCCGTTGATTCTGAACTGCCGATTCTGCGATACATCTTTGTGCATCATGTGCGCAAGTTCCCTTTCCTCGATCAGGCGCGTGAGAAGGAGTTTTGGCAGGATAAGTTGCAGGTGGTATGTGATTGCTCCAATTTGGGTTGTCTGTGGTAGCCGGAGACTCAGTGCGACTAACTTCTTTCCTCATACAGTTCCTCGAGTCGTTTGCTAACAAGCATGTATCGTCCTCGGAAGACCGGTTGGAGGAGACCAAGCGCAGGAAGCTGGCGCGGAAAGCTGAAAAGCTCGTCGAGCTGATGATGGTATCGGGAATCCCCACAGCGTCGGGGTATGAAGAGCGGATATCATTCTCGGAGATGGAGGTCGTCGATCGCGGGGCGAACGAAAAGGGCCTTCTCGTGAATATGCCGGAGGGACATGCGATACACGGCTGGGATGTCAATGTTGCAGCGGTACGAGTTACCTCGGTCAAACGGACAGTGCGATACCATAAACATGCGGTCAGTGATAGGGATAAGTACGGACTGACGACGATCACGTTAGCTGACATTCCACTAGGAGTTCATCCTCCGCGTGCGGCGGGAAGGCAAGCCTGACATCTTTGTGGCCAGGCGATATGGCGAATTCGCAAAACTTCATAAGAGACTGCGTACAGAGTTCCCGGGTAGAACATTAGCTCCTCTCCCGAGAAAAAATAAGTCATCAACAAGTGCTAGCTTTTTCGGCTCGGCTGACGATGAGGCGTCCTCTATTTCCTCCGTGTCAACTCAAGATACTAGCGAGGGGTATATTGGTCGAACGCTGGCTCCGGGACCTCATCACAGTCGTTCATTGTCACGCTCCTCCATGAAATCATCAAAGTCTGGGAGACTTTCAAGTGAGAGCCCGAGAGAGAGGGTGCTTTACCGGGAGGAGCAGCGCGTCTCTCTCCGAGCATTTCTACGCACTTTGCTGCAGAACAAGCGAGTTTCCGAGTCAAAGGCGATGGAGGAGTTTCTCACAGCAAATCCCGTCACCTTGAATGAAGAGGAATTAACCGATGTAGAAAGAAGAAAAGCAGCGGACGCCATCAGGATTGAGGAGCAGAAGCGATTCTACGAAATTGCACGGCAGCGTGCGGCGGAGCTGGATGTATACATGGAGCAATTCCGCCGGGATATTGTGGAGAGCAGTAAGGAACGAGTCACAATGACCCAGAGCCGGCTTTACTGACATTACGAACTCAGATGGTCTAACGAAATTATTCTCCGAGATTCGTGAAAAGAACACGATAGCGGACCTTAGCCCTCAGTACCAGAAATTCGCTGAATGGCTTCGAATTGAGTGCGTTGATTACCTGGATCTCCAGAGAATTGTCCGTCTCGACTGACTATTACTAGGGTTGCGGCAACTCTCTATCACGTATTCCTGGCTGAGGACAACTCTCCCGAGATGTTTGCGCAGTTCAAGAGGATACATTCTCTTGTCCCGTATACTCTGCTAAAGAATGTCATCCGTATCGCCAACCCTGCGGCTGTGATGAGTGGTGTCCTAGATCTTTTCCTCGCCCAGCCATTTGGGTCGCGGTCTCTGCTACAGCGCATCTTTTCCATGGCTCTAAATGACGGCATTAAACAATTCCAAAAGTCCATTGACTCGCTGGCAGCCAAGGTTGACGATCCCGTTCTGACTGGAAAGCTAAAAGATTTCGCGCATGCAGATGAGACTATCAAGAATGAAATTCGGACAGAGGCTGCGACTGAAGATGTGGATTTGATCGTTGCCATTCTTCGATCGGACCTCATATCACCTGAGCTCACTCCGGAACAGGTTGGAAAGGTGTTCAATGCCTATGTGGCCTGGAACCATGCGGTGGACAACGTGGATCTTGAGATGCAAGAAGGAGCTCAGTGGTTCGCAAACATGAAGCAATTGCTGAAGCTCTACACCCGACAACGCGACAAGGCAATGATTCTTAGCATCATCGAGGAGCCTGTCACCCTTCAGTTGTTCCGCGATCTCTTCACAATTTTCTACGAGCCCCTAGTGCGCGTCTACAAATCTGCGAATGTGTACAGTAGTATTACCGACTTTGCGCAATTTGCCGACGACGCCATCGCTGTGATTGAAAAATGTCACAGGCAGGATGTTTCGGCGGACCCTAACCAAACCGTCCAGGCCTTCATCGATCTATGTGAAAGACACCAAGACAACTTCTACAAGTTCATTCACGAAGTGCACCTTCACGATAATGGCTTGTTTACATCCCTCATGGGTTGGATTGAAGATATCCTTGAATTCCTGCGCCACGGACCTCAAGGGGGTAAGCTTGACATGAATGCTCTGTTCCATGGAGCCAAGGATCTCGGGCAGATCGATGAGGCCAAGGCCATTGAGGAAATTAATGCTTTGATCAAGTGGCACGAGGATCGCAAACGGTGGCACTTGAATAAGACGCGACAGAAGATGGCGGCTGAAGGCACTGGTAACGAGTCTTTCCCCGGAAACGGGACGTTCCGCGGCAGTGATTTTGGCTTGGATGAGGTATGTTAATTTCGAAGGGCTTGTGTCTCCATGTCTAATCCACTCTCAGGCCGACCTTCAAGATCTCGCCATTTCCGACGCGGAATCCGAACAGTCCGAGGAAATGGAAGAGGACGACCTCGATCCGATCACCGCTGAGAGGAGACGCCGTGTCAAGAAACAGGATCAGCTTCGCCGCACCGCAGGAGAACCAGTCAAGCCGGAAGTCCAGGAGATTCTCAAGCTCTCGGAGCCTTTTAATGCTATGTTAAGGCAGGTCCTTGCTGAATAAGTCCGACTCATCGCGATGATACCCCTGCAATTAGTCACTTTTGAGTACGCCTGCCTGTCTGCTTGCTTTCACTTTGCATATTTTAGATCAGAGCATAGACATCTTGGATAGCCTTTTAGATCCCAAATTCAGATGCGATGAAAGGCAGTATCGTAGAACATATGTTGCTTTCTTCAGCGGTGTGCTCTCCTGCTTCCCTTTTCCGGAGAGACCACGACCTAACTCACCTGCTACTGGTATACGTTTGCTTGTAATCTTCCATCTCATGATAAGAAAAAATATCTATCATTTCATCAGAAGACTACCGGGTGTATACATGCTGCTTCGGATGGTTTCGTGGAATACTCTTACTCTCTGAACGGTCCCTGCATTCTATTTTGCAACGTTTGGCTTATCTGTTTCCGTAGCGACAAGCAAGGCGTTTGCTTCCACTCGTTGCGTCATATCGACCACAACAGTAAAAAGTTACTGAGATGCTGCATCTGCCCTCACCATGTGATGGGAGATACTGCTCTATTGCTACACCCATGATTTCTCCTCATAAACGCGCAGTCGGAGGGCTGTCGCCTCGCACCGCCGTCCCATTGCGGGGACTCTTTCTTGAGGGCGTGTGGAGGTGCAACTGTCCCGAACGCCCACCAGCCGTCAGGCTGCAAACAAAGAACCACGGAGTCAACCATGGGAGATGGTGTAAGTCTTTTTCTCATGGGCTTTGACTAGCATAATACAGAATCATTGTTGAAGCGATACAGTCTACACCTGCCAGAAACCCCAACACAAGCGCTGCAACTTCTTTCTCTGGCAAAGCGACGCAGAAGCGCGGGAGAAACTAGCCGTGCTTTCGAACTCGCGGACTGAGCCGCGCTCGGCGAACAATACACCTACGAAACCATCGGCGCAGGGAAGCGGCCTTCTCACGCCACAGACGGACACAAAGGTCCAGGATGTCCGCGGGATGAGCGTCAACCGCACGCCAACACCGTCGAAGAGCGGAAAGGCCAGAATGATGACGGAGGATACGGAGGAGTTTAGCTGGGATGATTCGTCGGGCGCGGAGGAGCTGATCAAGTTGCTCGAGCCGCCTCGTCAGCCTGATTTCGGACAGGAGGGGCCTCGCAAAGCGCCGCGGACCGAGACCTTCACATCTCCCGGCAAGCGAAAGCTGTCGGACATAGAAAATGACGGAAGTGAGAGTACGGCCACGCTTACGCCTACATCTATCTTCTCGGCCCGCACGCAGACCCGGTTGCCGCCGGCGTCGGCGGAGGTCTCGATGACGCCTACGCCGGGCAGGTATAGAAATGTGCTGTCTACGGATGCGCGGGACGATTCGTCTGAGCTAGGCCTTCAGGCTTTGAAGATCCTTGAAAGTCACAAGGTGGTTGTGCCGAAACAGGCGCAGGACGAGTTGTTGGCGCTGCTGAACAAGCATGATCTGAACACTAAGGGGATTATCCGCGGGCGGGACATCTCACGGATTGCGCTGAAGAAGAAGGATGAGACTATTATGAAGTTGAATGAGAGGATTGCGAGCCTGGAGTCACAGAGGGAAATGGATCGAGCTATCATTGATGGGTTGAGGCAACGGTAACAAGAATCGGATTCTACTTGAAAGGAATAGGGAGATTGCGTTCATGATACCCTGGCCGGCAATGCAAGTACGATTTTCATATGTTTCATTTTATTCTGTTCATGTTTGGGCGATCCAACTCGATGCCGTGAAATCATATATTATCACCACAGAACATGTCTCCACATTAGGTATATTATATCCCATTTTTTAAATACACCAATATCATCTATACTTATGGATTTCGCATGATCATCAGTATATTGTGCTGGACGTAAATCCAAAATGCCATTAAGCAGGCACGAGGTATAGATCAATCTCGGCCACGTGACTGATAAGATCCAAAGATAAAATTAAAAAGTATGAATCACATCCCCACCAACACCAACAAACCTCAATCGCAAGATCCCGATGCCTCACATCGTATAATCAGACAACAAACCGCTTAGCATACACCCGTGGCACCCGTCCTCTCGCCCATGGACTCCATGACCGACTCCTCCAATTCGCTCCGCAGCAGCGACCTTCCGGAAATGTTTCGACCACCTGTGAATCGCGCGATGCGTGTCTTGGACCGCTCGTTCTTTCGCAAGACGGTTCCTCTGTCCGCTGCTGCGGTCTTCCAAAACTCGGATATTTCAAAGGTGCGAGCGGAGCTACACAAGAGCCGAGACCTGCTGGCTGTGCCTCGGCTCAACTGTATCCGGGACGTGGCAGACCAGGAGGGCCAGATAAAGAAGGCTTTGCTGCTGCGCGAGACTGTCAAGCATGACGATAAGCAAACATGGTCGCCGAAGATAAGCGAGCTGGTCGAGAAGGGAAGGATCGCAATGCGGCCGTACGACTTGACGCTGGACTACGATTTTTGGACGTACGCCGATATTATCTCCTCGATTCTACCCGAGGACGAGCTACAAGAGATTCCGCAGGGGTTTACTCAAGTGGGACACGTGCTGCATTTGAATCTTCGCGAGCAATACCTCCCATACAAGTATCTCATTGCGGAGATTCTGAAGGACAAGAACAAGGCGATTAGGACGGTGATTAACAAAACCGAGGATGTCGGATCACATAGCGAGTTCCGCACATTCCCCTTTGAGCTTCTGGCGGGTGATAATGATTTGAATGTTGTCCAGCATGAGCAGGACTGCGAGTTCCGCTTTGACTATTCCCGCGTCTACTGGAACAGTCGTCTGGAGACGGAGCATCGTCGACTCGTGGAGAAATTCAACAAGGGCGAGATGGTTTGTGATGTGATGGCTGGTGTGGGACCGTTTGCTGTGCCTGCTGGCAAGAAGAAGATCTTTGTCTGGGCCAACGACCTCAACCCACACGGGTACGAGGTGATGCAGGATGCAATCAAGAGGAACAAGGTGGAGGGCTTCGTCACACCGTTCAACATGGACGGCCGGGAATTTATCCGCTGGTCTGCCAAGGAACTTCTGGAGACCGAGCCGGTGACCATCACCATTCACCCCAAGGTGCGACGGGACAGAAAATCCGGCAATAAAGTCGAGCAGGCTCCCCCGCCTCATCCGGAGGAGTATCACCGTCCGGTGTTCTTCGACCACTACGTGATGAACCTCCCTGCCACGGCAATCGAGTTCCTCGACGCGTTCCCAGGCGTCTACGCCGGCAGGGAATCCCTGTTCGCTCCGCACACCTCCCAGCGTCTACCTATGGTCCACGTGTATTGCTTCTCGGGCCATTCCGAGAACGAGCTGGACGACCACATTGACATCTGCCAGCGGATATCCGAGCGTATCGGGTACACTATCACGCCCGAGGATCGGATCGGAGGCAGTGGGAATCAGAGCATTGAGCTCTCGATCCACAATGTGAGACTGGTCAGTCCCAAGAAGCAGATGTTCTGTGCTAGCTTCCGTCTGCCTGCGGAGGTTGCGTTCGAAAAGGTATAATTCTACATTAGAGGATATTGTTAGACAATCCTCGCATAGCATGAGGCGTTAGCTTGGTATTTTGTACATAAAGCAAACCTGATACCCTATTATGAGCTCGCAATCATTGGCATCCACACTCTAAAAATCGTACGTGGAAGGCGGTGAACATGTCACCGCCTCAAACTGCCTTGCGCCCTCCACCTCGAAGTTTTCCCGCTTCGGCAACGTTCAAGCTCCACATCCCTGGTCTGTCAACCTTCTACTGTCTACTGAGTACATTCTGGAGCTTTTCCATTAAGGAATCCAAATTTAACCAGACAATAAACTCACCATGAGTGTCCAACTCCCCCCAGCCACGCACCGCAAGCGCGCCCTCCCCCAGGGCGAACTCGAAGCAGCCTCAACCCTCAAACTCGGCGCCGATCAAAACACACATACCCTCTCGCTGTCGGAGGCACGGCTCGTCATCAACAAGGTGCTGGAGAATAAGCGCCGCGGGGGGAAGAAATACGAGGAACCGGAGTACGTTGCGCTGCGTTGCGTTGCCCGTCACCCAACCTTTCTGCAGCGACGGTCTGTCCTTCTACAAACACAAGGCTAACAGGCTCGAATGAACAGGAATCTTACCAAGACGCTGGATTACCTCGAGGTATTTGCGCGGTTCAAGGACGAGGAGAACATCAAGGCTGTGGAGCGGTTACTGAACTCGCATACTGAGCTGGAGATGTTTGAGCGGTCGCAGCTGGGTATGTCTTGCTTTGAGTAATGTGTCTGGCTGTTGCTGATAATTGAAAAGGGAGCTTGTGCTGCGATAATGCTGAAGAGGCCAAGTCACTTATTCCGAGTCTGCAGCATAAGATCTCCGATGCGGATTTGCAGGAGCTGTTGGATGAGTTGACGAAGCTGAGGAATTTCACGGAGTGAATACGGAGTATTCAATACCTTTTGACGAGATTGGATTTGGCCTGAGTCTCGGAATAGCATGGAGTTTTGGGCGTTTGGGCATGCTGTTGTTCTACAGGTACTTTTGTAGAGTGTTATTGTTTGCAGCAGGCATATTGAGCGAACAGTGCATATGAATTGGAACCGAGCATACTCAGCTTATTGAACTAAAGCTGACAAACTCGCACATGACTGATATCGACTTGACTATATCGCTGATGACCACTTCAGATCCTCTCACATGTCAGAGTCTGAAAAAGCTTTGTCACGTGGGGTGTCGTTCACATGCCATGAGTCTGGACTTGATCATGCCCGTGGGGAAGATACATCTGGAGTGCAGCCCGGACGTCATGGAGATCTGTAATTACACTTTTAAAGGATTGCTATCTGCACAGACTACAATTTTATCCGAGTTATTTTGAGTTGTCCACACTCAGCCACATCAATCGTTTGAGGTAAATGGTTGTAGATAGGCAGAAGCTAATGCGGAGGCCCGGGGTTTGGAGAAATGAAATAACCAAGTTGGCCAGGCTGGTCACTGGTCACTATGCGTCGGCTTGATGTTGCATGGACGACAGCAGGACTGGTGCTCGATAAATACCCCTGATGATTTAGGTTTGGATTGCTCTTGATATGAGCAATCCTTCTATATGCAGGATGCTCATGAAGCAATACCTGAGTACATATTTAGAAGGACAATGGACAGACAGGACCAAGCCAAATGGCAACAACTGATCCAATAATCAAAGTCACAAGCATAGTTTCCATTTAAGTCACGGATATATGGATGACTGGTCTGATGGTTGCTTGACAGATCGAGACGGGACGAGAATCCATCCCCAATGCAGACGATTCTGTTACTAATGTGCCGACTTTCGACCGTGCCAAGGACATGTACACTGGAGAGCCATACCTTACTTAATAATAAACAAGACGGGTGGGAGTACTCCGAAGAACCTATCGTAAGCAATTCCACCATAGATAAGTGAAGAAAAGCAAAGACGGGGAGCAGAAGTGCCGAGGGGTATAAACTTCAGGAAGCAAGCCTCCTCCCTCATTTTTCAGATGATTCATTTCCCGAAATGCTAGCCTAGCTAGTCTAAGCCGCAGAACTTTCCACAGCAGTGATGCCCGAGATCAGAACCAGACCAATGGCACCCCGGCTAATATCATCCCCAAGGCCCTGGCAAGGTCTCCACTGTTGCTTTGCATTTGGATGTGTAGCGCTCCCCTAGTCCGGAAAGAGAGTAGTCGGATGTGGAGAAAGGCCAGCTGCAGGCCGATCCCCGTTTGGCGGTGTTGCACCAGGCCCGATTGGGTTGCAAAGGGCGTGCGTGATTGGAGAGGGAAAGGCTGTTATCAGAGGCTGCTGATTGGATGATAGTAGCTCTATCTCTCTCTCTCGGGCGAGTACACCTCATTGGATTCTGCTTGATGTCTCGCTTCTAAGAAGGACCTAGTGACATGGTCTAAGCACTTAAAGTATTCTTGCATCGAAGCTGAGATGCGATTCTTGAAGTCTCTTCAAAGTTCTATCCTCATGGGCTGTCTTCAGTGATGGCATGTAGGTCTGTATGATCGCATGGTGACTAACGCAGGAGGAATTGCCAGTACGTAATCTAAAGGGGGTTCCTCGCTCCCGGCCCAATCAGGTGCAGATGTCTTATCTTGGGAGGCAACATCAAAAGCTGCAGAGATGCGACGGCCCAGGAACAATCATATAATGGCAATTGTCATCATTGGGGAAACGGCAGCGGCGCAGAGGCAATCTGTTACGTGTGGGAAACGTCGTTTCCGAGCTGATCGCATGGAGAGAGTCGGGATCTTGTTGGAATGTTGATGTTTCTGTTATCCAATCTTAACTGAACCGGAGGGAAGGGCAGAAAGTCCGGGTGGAAAGGTGTATGACTACGAGGCATCCAGAGAACTCATGTATATACTACTCTGTACACCTGGAGTCAATCCATCCTGGATCTGAGAGATAGCTTTTCCTCTCCTCGGTTCGTATCGTTAACATCCTGTCTATCGATCATTCATCCATAAGTCATAGAGTGAAACCGTTTCATCCTCCGCGGAATGACAGAGCGGACTATCAAGCATTTGATACTGCTGCAGTCGCTCGCGAAGGCTCATTACTATTGTTGAAGATAACAACCAATATACAATCATATCATTACTTTGTCTGATCGTCATATCTTCTATTATTATCGTTTCAAGAGCACAGAAAGATCTCGATTATTATCTACGTCTCATCTTCATCATCGTTGTTAGATCAATCAATTGTCGAGACTCCAGCCAACTAATTATTTGCTCCGGTTCCGCTCTCTCCGCTCCCCCGGTCGATATCGCCTTTTACAGTTGACTACTACTCCGTACTATCTCCGGGCTACATTTTCTTCTACCTGGCATTGTGTCGAGTCCAGTCTATCTACTTTTATCTGGACTCGTCTTTCACCTGTCTAGTGTCTACCGATAAGCTTCTCCTCCGCGGTTCGTACGTTGCTCTCAACCCCGTCGATTTGGGCTGCATCCCCAGTCATTGATTGGTTGGTGGACTGCGTTGAAGCTATTCGTATCTACCGACAGATCACCCAACCTGGCACAGCTCTCTCCTAAACCCTTGTCGAGGAGTAGTCTCTAGCTTCTTGCGGAGCATCATCCTGGCATCTCCGGATATCCCGGTTTACGAGGGCAAATCCAATTGAATTATCTGTCAGGCTGTGTGGGTGCATAATCCCTGCACAAATATCTCTTATCTATCTACCTAGCTATCTGCTATCTCCATTTTCTATCTACGTCTTCCCTATCGGGATCGTCTCTTCTCCTTCTCGTTTTCTTCCCTTCTGTGCCTGAGAATCTCTCCGCAGTGAATGGCTGCCGTTATCACTCTCCAGTCGTCCACGACGGCTGGCCCTGCGGCTACGTCTGCAGCTCCCTTTCAACAGCCTCACCCCTCAGACCACCACCTTCTTCGAGCCCGTTCGCAACAGCAGCAGGCTAGCTCGACTCCTGCGCCTATCTCGCCCTCCTCTGCCTCCATTGGATCATTGCCCCGTCTGCCGGCACCTGGTCGGGATGGGTCAAGTTGTGACGCCTGTTTGCGTAGAAAGAGCCGGTGCGCCATGAACGAAATGGTCAATAAATGCTACTCATGCGATTTCCATCGCCAGGAGTGCACCTTCACTCTCAGCCGTCCAGGTACAGCGGATGCACAATCTAAAAAGCGAAAACTAGAAGATCCCGCCCCCGAGGATGTGGACACTATCAAGAGGTATGACGATGTGTTTTCTTCCTCGTGGGGAATCTTACCCAATGCCGATTTCGGACGTCATGTCAAGGTTATGCTTATGCACGTTGCAAGATAAACACTAATCTTTCTCGCTTTCTCTCCTTGGCAGGCAACAACATCAACAACAACCACCAGCAGCAGCCCTCTCGCCAGTTTCCAAAACAGATGTCTCCCGCTCACCAGTGAATGGTCACAACCTCCTGATCCCGTCCGGGTATTGGTCCCAGTCTGCCAAGTATATTGGCATGACCACTGAGTTAGAGCCGGCCCTACTTGAACATCTTCCTCTTGACCAGAACGACGAAGGAGTCGTTGCATCGGCCCGGGTACGTAAGATCGGTAACGACGGTACCTTTATGCGTGTCGTCGAGCCCCCGTCCCAGGCGGACTCTCCGTCCGTCTCGCTCGATGCTATCGAGAGCCTGGTTGCTCCCTATGGATCCACCTTGGTGGAGAAGTACTTTGAAAGCATCCACCCGGTGTTTCCCATCCTGATGGAAGATGCCTTCCGTCAGTCGTATCGGACCAGACAAGGGCTTTCCCCGCTCTTACTCTCCGCTGTTTATGTCTGCGCTTTGAAGTTCGTGGATATTGGCCCTGCCTCGCAGTCGGTGCGACGTCCGGATGCTGGCCGTCTCGAGAGCACCGCGCTCAAGCTTCTGATCGAGTCCTTGCCCCATGCAACTATCTCGACGATCCAGGCCGGACTACTTCTGATGGAGAAGTCCACCATCGCGACTCATGCATTGAATGCCCAGCTGGTCACCGCTGGGTTCGAGCTTGGGCTGCACCAGGACTGCAGTGGCTGGAACATGGAGACCTGGGAAAAGGGGTTGCGGAAACGGCTGGCGTGGGCCCTGTATATGCAGGACAAATGGTCGGCGCTGATTCACGGGCGGCCGTCCCACATCTTCGCCTTCAACTGGACCGTCAAGGACTTGGTAGAACAGGATTTCACCGAGGCCTTCCACACGGACAACGCGCAGCAGGACGATGCAGACGTCGGCCACGGGCCGCTCTTTTTCTGCCACATGGTGGCGCTGACCACCATCCTGTCCGACATCCTCGACCGATTCTACACTCTTCAAGCGATCGAGGAGTTCAAAGCGGCTGGCGCGAACCGGACACGCATGATCCTGGAGCGGGCCAAACCGGCCCAGATCCGACTGAAGGAATGGTTTGCATCGCTGCCCCCGCAACTGAAGATGGACTCGAGTATCGACCTCTTCGACACTGTCACCGAAGACACCGCCCGCAACGGGCCCCTCCACCTCTCCTACTTTGCAACCGAAATCACCCTCCACCGCTGCATTATCCGGTCTCTCTCCCCGGACACGGCCGACGCCTACCTCTCCCACATCTGCCGCTCTGCCGCAAAGACGCGCCTCATCTCCGCCATGGACTTTGTCAACCGGCTGCGTCAACCTCACCTCCGCTCATTCTGGCCCGCCGCCTCCCGCACCAATTTCTCACTCATCGGCTCCTTCGGCATCCTCCTGCGCATCACCGCACCCACCAAGGAGGAGGCCGAGTTCTACCGCCTCCGCCTCTGCGAGTACCGCTGGACGCTGAGCGTCAGCCGCAAGCACGCCGAGTTCCTCGAATTCGCCCTCGACAGCCTCGACAACGCCTCTAACCTCGACCGACACGTCCCCGGCAAACCGGGCATCGACGAGCTGATGACCAGCGCCGCCAAACCGACCATCAACAACCCCCATCTGCCCTCTGCTTCGCAGCTGGACGAGTCGATGCTCGAGATGGACCACGCGCAGGACAGCACCCGCGGCGGCACCTCGTCTGTCATCTCGGGCCTGGCCTCTCCGGCTACCTCCGTCAGCGACGAAAGTGTCCAGGAGGCCTCCGTTCCTCCATTGTAACTTTCTTCACATTCTTCTTGCACATATCATCTACATTACATCACTTATGCCTAACGACCTTTCAGCCCTTTGTACCTGGTGGCGGACTCAGCCCACCCGCCTGGTTTGCTCACTGGATCTGGTTTTACGAATGATTCCCCGGATGGACGACTGGATGATTCAATTCCCTGGATCGATTATACTTGTTTGATGATGATTTTCTCTGTATGCTAGCTAGCTCATGATGAACCTGGATAGACTGGATCGGCGATTGGGATAGATCACGAATTAATGGTATTACATCACTATGCAGTATTCCTCGTCAGAAGTCTGCGATCAATCATAAGTAGACTCAGTAGTTTACGCAATGTCGGACATCCGATCAGAAAGGTAGGCTCGACTCAGCGGTGCAGCACCCTAGCAAACCAGACGATGGGTTGGACTTCTCCGCAGTCGATCGATTCCGATAGAACTCAGCCCTAACAAGATGAAGCGGCAACTCCTCCAGCCCTACCATAGTCCATACAGGAGTCATGGTTCGATCCAACTTGGAGAGCAACTTGTCCCAGTCCCTTGACAATCGAGCGTATCTTGTATAAGGTCCCCTGATGCCTTAGTCCAGGGAGCTTATAGAGGTAAGCGAGGTGGAGGTCGCTACCTCACAATGCAGGTTCCCATGCGCATTTCCAGACGTATCTTCCCATAACTGGAATGTTTCGACAGAAATGAGGAAGTATCTCGTGATTAGCTGTTCTATCCGGCAGGGATAAGAGAGACTTTACTTTCGTATCACAAAATAATTTAATCAGTGAGGCATGTTGTTTCTCTGACGGGAAGTGGAGTGCTGTCATTCTAATGCTTATGTCTCATTCCTATGTAGAAATCAGGGAGAATTCTCCTGTAGCAGGTACCTTGCTTGGAGACTGGTAGAGGGTTGTAGCACCTCTTTGTAAATATATCTTTGTCAAAATATGCCGTACATATCATCAGTTCAGTCAGAAGTATTCTCCAAGCTGGGCCGTACTGTGATATCTCCGACATCTCCACCATCATTCTACATTCTCCAGACGGGTAATTGTCATTTTTCATGTGCACTTTTCGAGGCAGACATTTTTGTGTTACAGAGACCAAATGCTGCGATCAACTCCTATCAGCATCTCCCTCGACGTGACGATCGCTTCCAAGATCGCAATCCTTGCTGCATTGAGCTGATGTGATATCGCGCTTTCGATGCAGTCAGGCTCTTTCGTTTCTGACTACTCAAGCATAATGACACGCTCATCCAGCCATCATACTCAGCCCACCTTCAGTTTATTGCATCAAGACGCGGGGTCTTCCATCTACTACAATATTACTCCCAATGGCGCGTTCCCATCGTTTTCTGAACCTATAACAAACAGTGTGTGCGGTACGTCTACAGAACGATGCGCTTAGCCCTACTCAGTGCTTTCTCACATTCTTTCTGCTCAACATAAAAGTATAAATACTCCTTGCTAAAGCTTGATTTGCCTGCTTCCCAATAAGGACGCCTCCCATCAGCGACTCGGTACCGCAAAAATGCGTGCCTTTTATCTGCTCTCCCTCAGCCTTGTTGCGGCAGCAGATCGACCCTCGAATCCTAACCTCCTCTCATATGGACAAAAAGGCCCTCTGCTAGGAACCTTCTTTGGGACTCCAGGCGCCGACGCAATTTTTGACTATGTGGTTGTCGGCGGTGGGAACGCCGGCCTGACCGTCGCCAGCAGACTCGCCCAGAACCGATCAGCGAGCGTCGCGGTCATCGAGGCCGGAAGCTTTTACGAGATCGACAATGGGAATAAGTCGATCGTTCCTGGCTACGCGCCGTACTTTGCCGGGACAGACCCGGAGGACTACCAGCCGCTGATCGACTGGGGATTCTTAACAACCCCCCAGCCTGGTGCAGGCAATCGCACCGCGCATTATACCCGGGGTAAGACGCTGGGAGGGAGCTCCGCGCGGAATTTCATGCTCTATCATCGGCCCACGGCAGACAGCATGCAGAGATGGGCGGATGAGGTGGGTGACGAGAGCTATACGTTCGACAGGATGCTTCCGTACTTTAAGAAGTCGTGCCACTATACGCCTCCGGACCAGAGTCTGTACGTCAATAGTACTAATACGCAGACTCCGGACGCGTTTGAGCCTTCGGGGGGTCCTCTGCTGGTTTCTTTTGGCAATAGTGTCGATGCGTTTGGAACTTGGGCGCAGAGGGCCTTCACTGCCGTGGGCTTGGAGGAGATCGATGGCCTGAACAGCGGTAGGCTGCTAGGAGCTGCATACGGAACCTCCACGATCAACCCGAAGAACGCACAGCGTTCGTCGTCCGAGGCGAGTTTCCTCCAGGAGGCCATCGCCGGCGGCTCGCCTCCTACGATCTACATCAACGCCATGGCGCAGAGAATCCTGTTTGACGAGAACAAGGTCGCAACGGGCGTCCAGGTCTCAACAGCAGGGACATTCGGCACGCCACCGGCCAACTACACCTTGAACGCTCGCAAGGAGGTCATCGTCTCCGCCGGCGCGTTCCAGTCTCCCCAGCTGCTCATGGTCTCAGGCGTTGGAGCATGCGACCAGCTCTCAGAATTCGGCATTGACTGCATCCACGACCTGTCCGGCGTAGGCCAAAACCTACAAGACCACGCTTTCTTCGGCTCCGCACATCGAGTCAACGTCCTCACGGCGTCTGCATCAGCCAACGATCCATCCCTGGCTGCCAGGCAGGTAGAGCAGTACCTCGCCAACGCCACCGGCCCGCTCTCCATCTTCGGCGCCGGATACTACGGCTTCGAGAAGCTGCCCGAACCGTATCGCTCGCAGCTCTCCGAGACCTCCATCCAGGCGTTGTCCAGCGTCCCAAGAGACTGGCCAGAGATCGAATGGCTGCCGCTGAATTCCTGGGTCGGGGACGGGTCCAACTTCATTACCGGCGATCCACGCGACGGTCACAACTACGCCACCATCGCGACGGCGCTCGGTGCGCCGTTCTCTCGAGGGTCCGTGACGCTGGCTGATGCTAGTATGAATACGCCGCCTGTCATCGACCCGCAGTGGCTTGTTGATCCCACAGACATCGACCTGGCGATTCAGTCGTTCAAGCGCCAGCGTCAGATCTGGGAGGTGCTTGTTAGAATGGGGATTGCTGATGCGCGCGAAGCGTATCCCGGAGAGCATGTCCAGACGGACTCGCAGATCCGCGAGTATTTGGCCAAAAGTGTGATTCCTGTGTTCCATGTGGCTGGCAGCTGTAAGATGGGACGAGAAGATGACCCACTGGCGGTCCTGGATAATATGGCTCGGGTCTTTGGAGTACAGAGCTTGCGTGTTGTTGACGCCAGTAGTTTTCCGTTTATAACGCCGGGACACCCGCAGGCGGTGGTGTATGCTCTTGCGGAGAAGATTGCAGACGATATACTGGCTGGGAGATAGCCTTACCTTTAGCTATAGATCACTATATTCCTGACCTGTCAGAATAACCCTGTAGGAGAATACCGAGAAACAACCACATCAGTTGCGATATAGAATACAATGCACGAGTCCATGTGCAGTCAGATCTATCTGTACATAGCATGCCCATCAGTGGATATAGGCAAAACAAAACAGCCCAGAATACCCTTTAACAGTCCCATATGCCAATAGGTTTTCCTTTGCTTATTCCCAAAAAATGCTTAAGTATTAGCCTCCATCTTCGGCACATCCTCTCCTTCAACAACCACCACCCCTTGTTCAAGTAGCTCCTCCGCCGTCTTGACCTTGACATCCATCACCCGCAGAAGCGTATACTTATGCTTGCTCTTGACCTTCCGCACATGCCGCTGTCTCCGCTTCGTCTTCTCCTTCACCCGCAACGGCTCCGCATCCACGCCCATAACCCTCACCCGGCACTCAAACAGCCGCTCATCGATATACGGTGCCCCCTTGAGCGTGAAGTCGCGCGAACCGAGCACAGACGCCCGGTTGAAGCGGAGGATGTCGCCCGGTTTCACGCCCCGCATGAGGAACGGCAGGCGGAGGTGGTCGCCCGCGGTCAGGAGGTAGGGTTTTGCGTGAAGGTGCGCGGTAATGTAGTGCGGTTTTTGGGAGGTGAGGTAGGGGAGTTTCTCGAGGAGGGATTTGGTGAGGCGTAGGGCTGACGCTTGATCCTGTGAGGGTTTGGGTGGACTTTGAGTGGTAGGCGTGGAGGATTGGCCCCGTGGTGTGGCGCTGAGTTGGTTCTCGGGGTGTGATGTGCTGCTGCTGCTGCTTGTGTTCGTGGCTTGGTGAAGGCAGGCGCGGAAGCTGGGGCGCAGGAATGCGTTGTGCTGCTGCTCCCAGGGTAGGGCGAAGGCTCTTGCGAGCGTTGTTCGGGAGAACATGGTGAAGCTGGTTTGGTCGTCTGCTTCAATTGATTCAATAAGGTCTCTTGTAGGTCTCTGCGTTCCTCCCAAGCGAGGACGAGACGCAATGGACGCTTGATGCTGGGCTGGACTGGTTGTTGATGGGCGTCGGTGTCGGCGGACGTGAATCGAGAAATTCCAGCGAATGGCGGATGTGGCCGCCTCGCTTTCCGTAGTGGCACGTGATATTATCGACTCGAGACAACTACGAGATCAGGTTCATAACTCAGTCAAACTAGGGTTGCCTGTTTGAAATTTCTTGCTCAGACTTCGAATACTAGTATCAATCAGTTTGATTAAAGTGATTGTGGGAAGCGATTCGTTGCAGGCAGACCATCAACAAAATTTCAGCACGATAAGACCATCACGTGACTTATCGATATCGAACCTGCATCGCCCGCAGAACAACTTTTTTGTCTCAGTCTCGGCCAGGAGGAGACCATCAACATCACTTGTCAGTAACGTTCTGCTTGTTATACATCCATCATGGTATGTGGTCCTGCTCACAATCCCTAGAATAATGCATCGGCTACTCCGTGGAGGCCACCTGCAAAGTTTTCACGAGTGAAAAATTACTGAACCAGTACTGACTGCTTCTGAATACAGCCTCAGAACGAGTTCGTCTACCCTTCTCGACCCAGCAGTGGTCAATCCACAATCTAACAAAACCTTAGGTACATTGAGCGCTGGCAAAAGCAGCACGGTAAGCGGCTCGACCACGACGAGCGCGTCCGCAAGCGCCAGGCCCGTGAATCGCACAAACAGTCGCAGGATGCCCAGAACCTGCGCGGCCTGCGGGCCAAGCTGTACCAGCAGAAGCGTCATGCCGAGAAGATCCAGATGCGCAAGCGCATCAAGGCACAGGAGGAAAAGAACGTCAAGTCCTCCGCCCCCGACGAGCCGTCCAAGACCCCTCTGCCCCAGTACCTGCTCGACCGTTCGCAGGCGACCAACGCCAAGGCCTTGTCCAGTGCTATCAAGGATAAGCGTGCTGAGAAGGCGGCCAAGTTCGCGGTGCCCCTGCCCAAGGTGAAGGGTATCAGTGAGGAGGAGATGTTCAAGGTTGTCAACACGGGCAAGAAGACGCACAAGAAGTCGTGGAAGCGGATGATCACCAAGCCCACGTTTGTCGGTAGCGACTTCACCCGGCGACCGGTCAAGTACGAGCGTTTCATCCGGCCGATGGGTCTGCGTTACAAGAAGGCCAATGTCACACAGTATGCTATCTTCCTTCCTTCTACCTTTTGCGTTGCAGCTCAACTGACAATCTATCAGCCCGGAGCTCGGCGTCACCGTGCAACTGCCCATCCTGGGTGTCAAGAAGAACCCACAGAACCCTCTTTACACCCAACTGGGTGTCCTGACCAAGGGAACCATCATCGAAGTCAACGTCTCCGAATTGGGTCTCGTCACGACAAGCGGAAAGGTTGTATGGGGTAAATATGCGCAGATCACCAATACTCCCGAGAACGACGGCACAGTCAATGCGTATGTGACCTTTCACCAATCCATCTCCCAAGACAGAGTCATACTAATCTTCGTGTACAGAGTCCTCCTGGTCTAATCTTGTCCTTAAGCGGCCCTCCGCACCTTGATACCAGTTCCGTTGCAGAAGTCCGCATTCCGTTGGCATTTTCTTCAGTTCAGCAGTCTATATTCCTGGGAGGCGTTCAAGGCGCGCACTGCGATTCCAACTATCAAAAGTATCCATCTAGTTCATCGATCCGATTTGCAAGTCAGTAGAAATAGACATCATGATTTTGATGAGCAGATCTTCGCGTCGGCCGTAGTTCACCTTGTATACATATACGTAGTTCACCAAGCTACAGTATATATTTAGTGAAATACGTATCCTCTACATATTTAAATCCATATACGTTGCTTTACTGTCCATATTTCAGACATCTTGATATATGGTTATGTCGCAAGCATACAGGCAATCTACATAGACATGTCGACAGAGAATATACATAAATCATTGACGATGTGTATAGCCACGACACATATCCAGCAATCCTTCTAGCTTTTGAACACGTACAATGCTTCAAATACCTAGATCTCAGCTATGGGCAATACTACAACACCGGTTTTATACGATGGACGTCGTGTTGTGAAACTGGTTCGAGTCTTCTCTACCAGTCATGAGTAAGTATCCTTTCATCTTAGTCAAAGCTCCTGGATATTGCTCTTGTCGGATTCAATGGAGAGCTCTTAATTCACCTTTGTGCTATGCATCCGGTTGCAGTAGATAAGTCAAGTCTGCAGCGGGTATATATAGAACACCAAGAAGACTAACCAAAACGATGCAAAGCGTAGACAATAAGTATAGGCAAACCGCCTCGATGGATAATAAATTAGATATATTCCATATACTGAAACTCCAAAGACCATGCTGACCCAACAGTTTCCCAATGCAACGAGTCGCGGCATACACATGCAAGGCTGAAGCGCATTCCAGAAACAGCCATCTCCCGTACCAAGGGGGAAGAAATGGCTCCAAAAAATATGTACAAGAAGATAATGAGTGACAAAGGGAACTATTCCAGTAGAGCAGACGTGAACTTGGACGCCGTGTCATCGGATCATCCAGGATATCATGAAAGGAGGCCTTCAACCAAAGCAAGAGACAAAGGAAATCGTGACGAATCAAGTGTGATCAAGTATTTTCTTCTAGTGCCGCCTTGATTTTCGCGTAGAACCCGGCCGGCCAGGCGGCTATTTCTTCGTCCTTGGGTATGCCCCGAGTCCGGCAGTGGTGGACAACATTCATCAGGATCCTGCCCAGCATGTCCTGATTGACGGGAACAGTGCCTTCCAGTTGTGCGTCAGGGTACAAGAATGGATCTCTCTGGCTAAGAAGTTCTTCCACTGTCGGTCGCAAGGTCTGATCTCGTTGCAGACAGCGCTTCAGGGTACGGATCAGCCCGGGCGGTATCGCAACTCCTCCAACACCAAAAGCAGGGAAGTCAATCTGCACTTTAGGGTTGGGGATGGCCATGATGCGCTCGTAATATTTGGCGATTTTGGCAAATGGCGGTTGGCCATATACCATTTTATAGAGGATACAGCCTAGACTCCAGACATCGCTGGGCTTGCCGAGCTTCATCATCTTTCCAACACTGGCTGGAAGCCCAAGCGAGGCATTAGAGTCGATCAAGGCTTCTGGTGACATGTAATTGGGTGTGCCGACTTGCTGCTCCCGATGCACGTTGACCGTGTTATCCTGGATAGCGTTGGCGATTCCAAAATCGATCAGCTTCAGCCTTCCCTGAACGAGGAGGAAGTTGGCGGGCTTCAGATCAGAATGCACAATATTGCAATTGTGGACCGCCTGAACACACTCAAGCATCTCCTTCCAGTAATACCGCGTGAAGTTGATATCAAAGACAGCATCCTCGGCATTCAACCGGTATGTCAGGATCTTCTCCAAATCAGACTCTCCGATTTCCATCAGAACGCTGAGGGTGTGCTTGTCCGAATTGAGTTCCCAGTCAAATAAACGGACAACCCGATCGATGTTTTCCAGCTTTTTCAAAAGGTCGATCTCGCCCTTGTAGCCAGCTAGAGTCACTGGGTCGACATCTTCGAGATTCACTCTTTTCAGAGCAAAGATTTTATAATTTTCGGCCATGACGCGGTAGACACGAGAACTTCCCCCACGTCCGATGCAATCCAGCCGCGTGAATGGCTTATGATTGACCGAGACTTGGCTTCGTTTTTTTCGAGTTTGAGATGCCGTAGCCGCTCCTCCCGTCGCCGTGGCGGTCTCAAGCATCGACATCTTCGGAGGAGGGGGCGCTGGCCGGTGAGGGGTATTGCTACTCCGTGTTGCTAGGATCTTGCGAGGGGAATTTCCAGCTGGCGTCTCTTCATTGTCTTTCTTGTCGTTCCCATACACCACAGAGAGCTTTTCCGGTTTGCTTAGGAGACTAAGCCCCTGGGACTTATCGCGTCTAAAAGTTGGTGGAGGCTCATTCTCTTGGTCTCGGGTGGCCGGGAGTTGAGGAAGCGGTGGGACCTTGAAAACAGGCTCCTCATGAGCACTTGAAGGCT